TCACTGATCTCAAGGACCTCACAGTCTAACAAGGGAGACACCATGCAAACAATTATGTACAAACAAGATACAGACAGGATATATTGGGAGTAGTCTCCAAGGGAAAATACTAAGATTAAGAAGGACTAAGAAAGGCTTCTTGCAGAAGGTGGGACTTCAGCAGAGACCTGAAGAAAGCCAGCGAAGTCAAGAAATAGGGATGGGGGGTAGAACATTCTGAGCATGAGGGAGAGTCAGGGGAAGTACCCAGAGCCAGGAGATGGATTTTGTGTTAGGAAACAGACGTGAGGCCAGTGTCACTGGATCACAGCATCTGGGGAGGGGAGAAAGGCATAGGTTAGAGGGCTCGACACCAAAGAGAGGAGTTTATATTCAACTCTTAAGCCAGTAGGGAGCCACAGGATTTTACTGGATAGGGGTCAGACCTGCATTTGAGGAAAATCAAATTGACAGCTGAATATAAGATGCACTGGTGTGGGGAGAAACAACAGGAATGGAGATCAAACAGGAGGTTATCACAATAGTCCTGAGGTGAGCTGATGAGGGCACGTACCGGGATGGGAAAACTGTCAGGGAAAAAACGGAGGCATACACTAAAGATGTTATCAAAGTAGAAGTGACAAGTTTTGAAAACTGACTGGAGATGGAAGATGAGGGGTCTAAGTGGCCAGCCTGGGGTAGCCAGACTGTAGCCTTAACAGTAAAAGGTAAGTTAAAAGAGAAGAGGGTGTGGGGGGGAAAGATGAGTTCAGTTTTAGACATTTAGACATTTAAGATACATACAGGATACCCTGCCTGAGATATCCAACAGGCAATTGGAGACATGAGACTGGGAGAAAGTTAAGGGATGGACTTGGTAGATGTAGGAATCCTCTACATACAGATAATATTTGAAACTCTAGGAGCTTAGCTGATGAGGGGACCAAGTGAAATAGTATAGAGGGAAAAGAGGGCCCAAGACAGTGCCTTAATGGTCCTCTGTGTTTAGTGGGCATTGCGTGGATGAAAATCCAGCAAAAGAGAAGGCAAAGGAGTGGCCAGACAGTTGGGATAGAGAAGTGTCACAAAAACCTCATAAACAGTGTCAAAGGCTGAGGAGAGGTCAAGGATGAGGACAGAAAAGGCCATTAGATTTGGTGATTAAGAGATCCTTAATGGCTTTGGAGAGAGCAGTTGATGATGACACTGGAAGCCAGACTGAAGAGAGTTGCAAGAGTGACAGGAAAGGAAATGGAGGTACCTATTGCAGCCAGCCTTCTCAAGGTTAGCCACCAAATGAAGGAGAGATATAAGATAGTAGCTAGCAAGGATCGATGGGCTGAGTGAGGGTTTTCTGAGGATGCAGGAGGTGAGATGTTCATAGGCAGTAGGGAAGAAGGCAGTAGACAGGGAGAGAATGAAGACTAGTGAGAGAGCAGAGATGATAGAGGGAGCAATCAGGATCACTTTTGTGTAGAGAAGTTTGTTTTGGCAAGAAGGGCTACTTCATGTGAAACAGGGGTGAAGGGGAAAACAATAGCAGAAGGCATTCGAGTGAAGTGAGATAAGGAGGCAATAGGAGGGAGTTCTTGAATGGCCTCAGTTTTTTTCAATGAAATATAAGGCAAGATTCTCAGCATGGGGATGAAGGGAGACAGAGCTGTGGAAGGTTTGAGAGGTGAAAAGGTATGGAAAGAGTAATCATAACAGTAAACATAAATGTTAATTTAAGGGACTGAAGTCCATATGACATACAAGTAACACATATAATATTGCACATTATCACTGTTTGTGTCTTATTTATTAGACCATGAGCTCTCTGAGGCTAGGGACTACGTTTTAGATAGTGCTTTACAAATAAGGAGGCCTTAGTAAATGCTTGTTGCTGTTACTTTAGCTTTGGTTTGCTTTTTTTTGGGGGGGGGAGTTGGCAATGGGGTTAAGTGACTTGCCCAAGGTCACACTGCTAGTAAGTGTTATATGTCCGAGGCCAGATTTGAACTCAGGTCCTCCTGAATCCAGAGCCGGTGTTCTGTCCACTGTGCCACCTAGCTTCCCCGTTACTGTTACTTTAAATAAAATTATAGATTGTAAGTGCTGAATCTAGGGGTTGGATCAAAAGATATTTAAAGTCTTCTAAAAATATATATACATGTGTGTGTATATACATTTAACATATACACATACATACATCTTATTTTAACTACCACTGATAAGTACAGCTATTAAATTATATGAATATTAAAAAAAGAACATGCAAGCCCCAACAAAACAGGATCATAAATGGCTACAGCTGTGTTTATTACACTGTTATTTATTAACCGTTAATCCCACTCTAAGATATGTGTATTGACATTCACATAAATTCCTTGTTTTCCCCATCTCTTCTGATTTCCTTTACTATATGTATAACATTAATTTGTTGTCCTTGTTGACTTAATTACTTGGCTGTTGTCAATGTATATACTCTTTGGTTCTATTTTCTTCCCTTTGCATGATTTCATTTTCAGTTTTCCCATAGTTCTTTAAGTAGTTTCTTGAAATCTAGATTCAATTTATTTCCAAGTAGTTTCCCCAGAGTTACAGTTAGAGTCTGCCAGGAATAAAGTATATAAGAAAAAGTTTGTTTTTGTCAGAATCAATAAACATTTATTATGTACCTACTACGTGCCAGGCACTGTGCTAAGTGCTGGGCAAAAGAAAGATAAAAGATAGTCTCTGCCCTCAAGGAACTCCCAAGCTAAAGGGGGAGACAATATACAAACAACTCTGTACAAGCAAGCTGTATACAGGATAAACTGGAAATAATCAACAAAAGGCAGAAACTAGAATTGAGGCGGATCAGGAAAGACTTTCTATAGAAAGTAGGATTTTAACTGGGACTTGAGGGAGAGAATTACACAAATAGGGAATAGCCAGAGAAAGTGCCTGGAGCCAAGAGATGGTGTGTCTTTTTTGTGGAAGAGCAAGGCCGGTGACAATGGACCAAAGAATATACAGGGGAGAGGGTATGTGGAAAATAAAAGAAGACTGGAAAGGTGGGAGGTGGGGACAGGTTATGAAGGGCTTTGAATGTCATATTTGATCTTGCAGATGACAGAGATCTGCTGGAATTTACTGAGTAGGGGAGTGACAGACCTGTGCGTTAGGAAGTAGAGTTCAGATCTGTGTTTTAGGAAGATCACTTTGACAGCTGAATGGAAGATAGACCGCAGTGGAGAGACACTTATGGATGACATAAAAAATGTGTGTGTGGATAGACATATATACATGAATATGTATGTGTGTGTGTAGTACATGTATACACGCAGAATTATTGAAGAAGAGATGAACAAAATTATGGCAAATGAATGTAATGAAATATTGCATCTTAAGGAATTACAAATATAAAGAAATCAGAGAAACATGTAAGGTTACATAAGGTACTATAAAACTAAAGTACACAATCAAAATAATACTCAGTGCCTACAACAATGTAAATAAAGACAAACACTAAGGCAACAAACTTCAGGTCACAAAACAAATATCATATTGTAATCAAGATTAAGTTCCTGACCTTTTCTGTTAATAGTCAGTAAACCTCAAAAGTAGGATGTGAAATGCAGTGGAATAAGAGCTAGCATTTATAATGCACTTTAAAGTCTGCAAAAAATGGCTTTACAGGTGTTAACTCACTTGATCCTCAGAACAACCCTGGAAGATAGGTGTTATTATCCCTGGTTTACAAGTGGGAAAACAGAGGCTGCCAACGTTAAGTGACTTACCCAGGGTCACACAGCTAGTTTAAGTGTCTGAGGCTGGGTCTTCCTGACTCCAAGAGCTTAACTTTTCAGGGAAGGTACTCTGTGTTTGTCTATCCATCTGTTTATCTATCTAGTATCAAAAAAATTTATGAATTTTTAAGAACAGCATTTGGATTTGGGAAAGTTTTCTTATTTTATAAGATTCTTCAACATACGCTGCACCTTTTTCGGTTGTTCACCTCGATCTCTCCACCTAGAACGTCTTCTCTTCCATCTTCAAACCAGAACAATCATTCAAAGCAGACCAGCTCAAATAACCCCTCCACCGGAACTTCTCCATCCCTCATTCCCAGCCTAAACCTCTGAGCTGACTGCCCTTCCTAAAGCACCTATGGCTTTAGCTGGTTTTCGGCACATTTGTGTCTTATATCCCCTACTAGTTAAAAAGTTCCTTGAGAGGAGGGATTGCCTTGTTTATATTTGTACCCCTATAACATCTAGCCAAGGGTTATGAACAGATTAAATGAAATGGTTATTACTTTTTAGACAAGATTTTAAAACATTTCCAGAATAAATGACGTTGTGAAAAGTACAGGAGGGGGAGGGGGGGCGGTAGGACGTCTCTCAACAGCTGCTGATGTTCTGCTACTGCTCCTCCTGGAGCTGAGTCCCCATACAATTTTCCTTACCCTCTTTGCTGTCTCATAGGAGGAGGAAAACTATCTGAATTCAGCACAATGAGAGGAAATGATCTTAAAGGGTTTGGAGGAACAATACTCCCTCAAATCCAGTCCCTTCTCCCCTCCCCAGAAGACCCAGCCCCACTCTTCTAACTCCTTCCCGGCCAGACCCCAACCCGCTTTCCTAAATCCAAGCCCCATCTGACACACCCCACTCTCTTGCTGATCCCTTCTCCCCATCAGAACCACTCCCTCCTGCAGGCAAGGTCCGCTCCTCCGGCCCCCCAACATCAAACCCAGCTTTTCCCCGACTCCCTCTGCCCCCCCCCGGCCACACCTCCCTACCCACCGTACCCGGCTCCCCCCAGACACAGCACCTAACAGACGCAGCCCCCTCGTCTGGGCCCTTCCTCTGTTTCCTCGGACCCAGACTTCCCCTAGACCCAGCGTCCTGCCCCCCTGGACCCAGCCGCCCCTTCCTTCACCCCCTCCCACCGCTCAGCACAGCGCCCGGCACACAGCAGGCGCTCAAGAAATGACTGACTGACGGACCCCCGCAGACGCGCCGCCCCCATTCCTCGGCAGGCTCCGCACTCACCCGCAGCCAAGTCTTATCTGTCCATGATCCCCGGGCTCCCAGCCGGCACAAACTTGCACTCCCAACTACCGGGTCCGACTGCCGCTTCCCTCAGCGACTACTTCCGGCAACCGCTCTCCCCGCCTCGCGACCCGGAAGGCCAAATCCCTTTCCGGGAGGGCCGGTCTTGCGCGCGCAAGGATGAGTGAAGAGCCCGCCTCCGACCCCACGTGATCGGTGCCGTGCGCATGCGCGCTGTTTATATGCTACCACCCCCGCAGTGCTCTTACCTTTCCTACGGCCGAGACCTCGAGGTTTGGGCGTTCGGTCTTTGGTGGCTCCGGCCCAGCGGTCTGGCTTCCTGGGGAAAGTTGGATTGGGAGCCGGCCGGGAGCGGGTAGGTGGGGGGCCCTGCCCTCTCCTGCCTAAATGCATTCCTTCATTCAATTCAATAAACATTAAGCGCCTACTTTGTAGCGGGCACTGTGCCTGAGCGCTGAGGATACAAAAAAGAAAAAGACAGTCCCTGCCCTCAGGGAGCTCACAATATCTCGGGGGATGACAATACATTGTTTCATTCTGAATCAAGGCTTTCACCTCCCTGGCACTGCCCTCCTAGAGGCCCCGGCAGGCGGCCCTCTAAGTTACTTTTGTTAATTGTATGCATGCTTCCTGCAGTACTTCACGTCCTGACCCCTTGCTAGCTTTGCAGTCCTCTGACATTCAGCCCCCTTCCACGCTTTCTCCACAAAGCAGGCTTACCGGCTTTGATGTTGCTCATACTTGAGGTACCTCCCATCTCTGTGCCTTTGCCCCGGCTGTGCCCCCATGTCGGGAACACTCTCTTTCCCCCACCTCTTACTCTTAGAATCCCTGGCTTCCTTTGAGACTCAGCTCCAATCCCTCCAGGAGGCCTTTCCTGGTTCTCCTCTGCTAGTGACAAACCTTCTGATACCCTTCCTTTTACTCCGTATTTATTGATGCGTCACCTCCACCAACTGTTAGAATCTAAGCTTCTTTGGGCAGAGACTGTTTTTGCTTCTTGTTATCCCCAGTTTAACAAATGCTTGCTGGTTGACTGATCGCATTTTCTTCTCTGGGCACATGTTATTCCTTCCCTGCGAGACTTGAAAGCTCCTGGAAGGCAGGAATTGTTTCATTTTTTTGTTTCCAACTGCTTGGCATCTAGCACCGAGGCTGCCTGTCTGGTGTACAATAGGCGTTTAATTGTTGAAATGCATAGGGATGCTGTGTGGAATTTGTGCAGAGCCTGCAGGGGAAATCGCAGGGGTACTGCCTGACACACCTTCCTCAAGGAATTCTCGGTTTGAGATGTGAGAAACGCGCTCACTTAACGGAAAGACAACACTCGTTGGTGAGGCCAGGAAAGCTTTACTGCTAGCTTATCAGTCGGGTGCCGAAAGAAGGAAGAAACACATGAACACACGAATACACGAACACACACACACACACAATTTTTAAAAAATGCAGTATATATGTCCTTTTATTCTCAAGCACCTGGTTTTAAAGAAAGCTTTTAGATATTTTTCAATTATTTATATTACTTTTACTTACATATAACAAATATTTAATACACTGCTGTTGATATATTTAAATTAGATTAGGTATATCATTTATATTTCTGTTATTCAGATTAGCTAATTACAGACTGTGAGTTTAAAGAAGAGTGATAATAAGAGCCCACTCTCCTCTGTCTCGGACCCTATCTTCTTACTCTCCCTTTTTTCCAACCCTCACATCTATTCCAGATGCCCTCTCACAAATCTTTCAGCAAAGTTGCCTAGCAGTTATTAGCCATAGCCTGGACTAAGGCTTGGACAGACTGACTGCCTGGGAAGTAAGAAGAGGCTGGAGGACCTTGCTGGGAGCCCGGAGACCCGATGAGCCAGTTGTTAACAAGCACATATTAAGCACCTACTCTGTGACAAGCATAGCCCTAAGCACAGGAGATACAAAGAAACAATTATCTACGTGAAAGCTATAGATAGAATAAATTAGAGACAACCAACCGAGGGAAGGCACCAGTAATAAGGGAGATCGGGAAGGGCTTCTTGCTTCTAGAAGCTGGGGCTTTAAAGCAGGCGGGGGCCTGGGTTCAAACCCGGCTTGCCTGCCATTGTTCATTTAAGCCAGTCTTGCCCTAAGAGAGGTCTCTCTCCCCTCTCGGGTTCCTTCTCAGTCAATTACAGGTGAGGGAGCTGGACCATAGAGCTCCTTCCCAGACTTGTGGAAAAGCAGCGCCCAAATCAAGAGCTCTCGAAATCAGATACATCCTCCCACACTCCTCTAGCACCGGAGACTCCGCCCCAAACAATCCTCACCCGTTCACATAGCACGGCCAGCCCCTGGCTTCCCAGAAGGCTCCGCGTGCTATTTGCATACCAGACTTTGTCTTCAAAAGAAGGTGTGTGTGTGGGAACTACTTTCCAAGCCCCCTCCCAACTGAGACCGCGAAAATTTAAAGGAAAGAATATACTCCACAGACTCAGATGTGGTGGAAAGAAGCTCTAAGATGGACTCACCTTTACTTAAGAATGTGTCGCTCTGTATCGCTATCGTAGTCCCGAAAATACTCGCGTTAAAAAGGGCTTCTGTCGTGCATGGCACACGTCGAGCGGCGGGGGTATCCTCAGTCGTTTTTCGTGCGGAATCGACATCAAGAGATTTCGGAAGCACAATTTTTGTTATTTGGGCAGCCGGTGATCGTTGGTCCTGGCGCCCTATCTATTGCATAAAGGAAAGGCGAATGTTTATTATGGGGTGTTTCTGGTGGCGCGGATTGTTTTTTGTTAGCGGAGTTTTCGGTTTTATCCCCATGTGTTTCAGTGTTATGTTTCCAATACTAATGTATTATCAGTATTTCTAATGCTATACATACTATAGTGTACTAATATTATAAATACTGATATGTTAGTATTTCTATATTATAGAATATGGATATTCTATAATATATATTCATATTATGTGTTATTTATTTCAGTCCTACTTCTGAGAACCATTGGTTTTGTGACCTTAGCCGACTCATTTAACCTCTGAATGCTTAGAAGAACTCAGTAAAATTAGGGTTAGGGTTAGAAATTTCCTAAACCAAACAAATCACAGATCCAGTCTACTATTTCTGTCGCATTGAGCTTTTCTTCGCTTTTTTAAATCTCATTGATAATCAACAATACTTTTAATTAAATTTTGTTTTTTAACAAACATTTTTCTCCCCCTCCCCACTAACCACTTCCTATTGAGGAGAAAAGGAAAAAAAAACCACCCTTGTAACAATTCGAATAATGAAGCAAAACAAATTCTCACGCTAGCCATCTTGAAAAATGCAGCTCATTCTACATGCGGAATTCGTCACCTTTCTATCAAGACATGACTAATCACTAATCACAGCAGAGTTCTTAAATTTTTCAAAATTGTTTATAAGCCTGTAGTAAGCTCTGACTAGCAGGTGCCAAGCTCTTTGCGGAGCTTGTTTGTCTCCAACTGTCAGGGCTTCCCCTGTCCACACGGTGGTGCTAGCGAGCAACGAAATATATGAGTCAAGGTGAAGAAACTTACGCTATCTCCTTCCCTGGTGAACCTTGGTTTCTGTGATGATTTTTCTTGTTTACATAGATTTTATGAAATTCTGTGATACAACAGAAAGCTTTCTCTTGTTGAAAACATGAGGAAATTTGTTATCGAATGCTATAAGGGTAAGGGAGGTTCAGAGATCATCTACAATTGATTAACATGCATTGATTAAGCATCTACTCTGTGCCAAGCATGTAGGGCAGCTAAGTGGCAAAGTGGATAGAGCACTGGGCTTGGAAGCAGGAAGACACCTTCAGGAGTTTAAATCCGGCCTCAGACACTTCTGTATGAAGTATACTGTGTGACCCTGGGAAAGCCACTTAACCCTATTTGACTCGGTTTCCTTACCTGTAAAATGAGCTGGAGAAGGAAATGGCAAACCACTCCAGTATCTTTGCCAAGAAAACCCCAAATGGGGTCACAAAGAGTTGTAGACAACAGAAACAACTAAACAACAACAAAACTTTGCAATAATTTTTAATTTGTGTTCTTCTTATGAATAATTTGTAGGGTTTTTTTCTCACCTGGTAGCTGAGGCTTTCAGTTTCTTTGCTGGAAAACTCTTCATAGTTCTCAAAGGAAGAAATTCAAGGAAATTAATGGCCACATGAAAAAATGCTCCACATCGCTCACAATAAGAGAGAAACAAATACAACAATCCTTACGTTAAATATTTTGACAAAGATTACAAAAAAGGAAAATATTGACCATTGGAGGGGATGTAGAAGGATGGGCACACTAGTGTACTATTTATTTTCTTCAGTATTTTTTTTGGGTCTCCTTTAACAAGCTGTTGACTTGTTTTCCATTATTTTCTTGTATCACTCTCATTTCTCTTCCTGGTTTTTCCTCTACTTCTCTTACTTGCTTGTCAAAGTCCTTTTTGAGCCTGAGACTGATTCATATTTGTCTTGGAGGCTTTGGATGTAGGAACTTTGATTTTGTTGTCTTCTTCTGGTTGTATGTTTTGATCTTCTTTGTCTCCAAAGAAAGATTCTATGGTCTGACTATTTTTTCAAAGTTTGCTCATGATCCCAGCCAATTACTTGAGTTATAAACTCTTTGTTAAGGTAGGGGTCTGCTTCCAGTGTGGAGAATGTACTGTCCCAAGCTTTGGGGGTTTTGTGCAGCTGTTTTCAGAGATATTTCTTGGGACCTGTAAATCTTCAGTTCTTCCAAGGTGGTATGATCAAGGGCAAGGTGTTTACTCCTTCCCTGTCTTGTACTGTGGTCTATGAGTGACCACAAGCACCCTTTTCTGCCTTGGAACTGTGAGGAGGAGTCTCTCTGCACTGCCACCACAAACTCTACCACACCAGTGCTCCTCCTTGCCCCAGGATTGCCACCCAGAACTGTGACACAGATTCAAGCGTGGGCAAAGCAAGAGATTCCTGCCTCAGCACCAGCAAAGAGATCATGGCAATCCTCCTCTGATCAGCCACTCGATTCTCCTTCAGTCTGTGGGCCAAGAGCTCTGGAAGCAGCCACCACCCTGGGCTGCTGGGTACCAGCTTCTCTCTCACTGGGATCTAT